TTCAGATGAGCACACCTCGTGAACCAAGGAGTCCAGGTTCATGAACATCCGATGATTTTACAGACCTGCTGCACAGGTTTTTTTCCACTCAATACTAGGTCTATAGGGGAAAGAAAAAACGTAAAAGTCCAATCTATATTCAACTGCAGGAGGTAGTTTTAATTGCACTTTGGATCAATAAAGGCTTAACACTTGCTCTTGTTTACTAGGCAGGGGGTTGTACTTCCAGACAATTTCTCCCTGCATTTCATTTCCTCACAAGATCTGAATCCTCCAGAACTCAGGTGCAAGACAGAACATTCATATCCCTGAGGAACATAGGGAATTATATTCATGTGTCACAGATTTTTGCACTTAGCAGCAGCAACAGCATATCCAGTCAGTAGCACCAACATTACAGCAGTTCAAGGCACTAGAAAAATATAAAAACTGCATTCTCAAACCATTACAACCTGCACCACATCGACAGGGTATACAAGCTTTTAAAAGGTGGCAAGTAGCATCTTATTCTATTTCATAGTTGTAGAAAACTAAGATCAGGGCAGAAGACAGGTAGGCATTAATAAAACCCCACAGAGAAATCTACTTGTATCACGAAAAAACGCATTATTGTAGCCATCTCGTGTTCACCTGCATGAACAGATGCTGGACACAGGCTCCTTCCTCGCAGCCTCTCAGGCGGAGGGCCCTGGTCCCGGCACTGCTCCCTTCACCTCCTCCCCACCGCCCTTGGGCTCCTTCACTCTTTTCTTTCGCCCTGACTATTAAAGCTCCCCCGTTCAGACCGCGCTTTGATCAGGAGAACAGGCAGCTAATAAAGTCACATGTTAAAGAAAGAAATCTACCCTTTTAAAGTAGGACTAAAACATCCCTGGCTTCCTATAAACATACTAACATGTCCTGCATTTCTCCTCCCTAAAAGAGCTGGATTGGACATAATAAACAACCTATTTCCCTCTTTTAGATTATGCCCAAGAAATCAAGGTTTAAATGGAGTGCTTCACCGATATAACTTAGACATTTACAGCATTTTCTTACCCCAACAGAAAACAGCAAGACTAAAAAGACTGGTGGGACCCCTTAGTAGGGGCATGGCACCAAGCCAGCTTTATGCTATATTCCTTCCCAAGCTGCAAGGGCTGAAGCCAGCAGGACAGCAAGCACGGCTGCATTGCTAAGGGTGCTTAATGGGATAATCTTGTCGCGAGGGTGAGGGAGCGGAGCGTCTCCCAGAGACACCTCCACCCCCGAGCGCTGCTCCGGCCCGCTCGACCCAGCCGCGCCAGGCCGCTCACCTGCACGTCGGGACGCCCAGGCAGCGCCGGGGTCGCTTCGAGAGCTCCTGCTGCCCGGCCCCACGAGCCAAACTCCAACACAGGCAGGCGGCTGCAGAGGAAACTTGCAGAAGGAGCCACAAGCTGAGAGAGAAAGAAGAAGAAAGGCAGTGAGGACAGACGTGACACAGGACAGTGCCTAGGACAGGGAAGCAGCCATAGCGCAGCAGCAGCAAGGAATGTCTGCAAGCAGCGCCCGCTCGGATCAGCACGGAGGGCAGCCTCAGAGCTTCGATGCTCTCCAGAGCTTTGAGACACACATGCATTTAACATGAGCAGGTTTCAGTTTAAAGCTAAAAACCTAGGGGAAAACGGCTATGGAATTTTTTTTTATTTGAAAGATAAAGATAGTATAGTTACAAGCAAGTTTAACTATTCT